CACCTGAAACCTTCCTAGCAGGAGATTCAAGGGCAGAGCGAGTTGGTTCTGGTGGTCCAAGGAGTCTAGTTTTACTGAGACTGGAAAGGTGAAACCCACAGGAAGTGAAAAGTGCCCTTGAAAATCCTTTAAAACATCCATGGAATACGGCAAGCAGACACTACTGCTTCTCAGGCACTCCAGGTCAGCGGGTGGTCTTTGAGGCTGGAAGACAGATCTGTCGCCTCCACTGAATAGTACAGAAAAACATGAGCTGGCACAGAGCACCCCACTGCATCAGAAAGACTCAATTCTGTGTGCAGTGCAGGCTAGGGACAGCTAGCACGCCTCACCCCACAGCTGCTCCATCCTATACCACCACCACCTGCTTCAGGTGGGAGGCCAGGAGCCTAACTGCTGGGCTGAGGCACTCACTGTGCATCAACACGACACTCCCCAAGCTGCTGACTCTCAGCAGAGTTTGTGCAGCCCAGCATCTGCAAGTGAAATAAATGCTTCAGGTATCTCCTTAATACCAGGCTTAATGCTGCCGCCTTGGCCCATAGCTCCTCAACAACTGATCATACCCATTGGACCCTGTATAAAACAGGGAACCTGCTTATGGTCCAGTGGTTAAGACACCTGTATCTCACATTGTAGTCAGTACCTGGATTCAGTTTGTAACTCTGGCTCCTGACTCCAGGTTCCCATCCATGCCAATCCTGGAAGTCAGGAATGACTGCTCAAGGAATTGGGTTTGTGTCACCTGCAAGCAAGATATGCATTGAGTTCTCAGTTTCTGGCTCTGGCATTGTACAAGTCTGGGGAGTGAGCCAGCAGATGGGAAATACTTCTCTCTTTCTCCCTTTTGAATGAATAACTGCAAATGCAAAGGGGCAGGTATTGAACCTCGCTTAAACTTAAGCGAATCAGAGTATCTGAGCCCAACTCACAGCTCTGTCTGTTGAGCAGTGTTCTGCTAATATGAGCGCTGAGAGGCTGCCAGGACGGCTCGAGTGGTGGAGTCCCCCTGGCACCCACCTGGGACATCTGCATTGAGTTCCTTGCTCCTGAGGTCAGCACTATAATACAACAGGTTAAGCCTGCGCCTGGGACACTAGCAACCCGCGTCAGAATGTTGCTTCCAGTCCTACCTAGTCTACTTCTCATCAAGTTTCCTCTTAAGGAACCTGGGAAACCAGCGGAGGATGGTCCAAATACATGGTAGACCACAATGGAGTTTATGGCTGCTAGCTTTGCCCCAGCCCAGCTCCAGCTGTTGCAAACAGTAGAGGAATGAACTAAAGGATAGAAGTTCTCTTCATGCCCTTCAAAAAAAAAATTTTAAAAACAGGTCCAGTGCAGTAGCCTAGTGGCTAAAACCCTCACCTTGCACGCACCTGGGAATCCATATGGGTACCAGTTCATATTCCGGCAGCCCCGCTTCCCATCCAGCTCCCTGCCTGTGGCCTGGGAAAGCAGTTGAGGATGGCTCAAAGCCTTGGGACCCTGTATCCATGTGGGAAATCCAGAAGCGGCTTCTGGCTCTTGGCTTCACATCAGTGCAGCACCAGCTGTTGCGGCTGCCTACGGAGTGAATCAACAAATGGAAGATCTTCTTCTATCTCTCCTCCTTTCTGTATATCTAACTTTCCAATAAAAAAATGAAAAATAAGTCTTAAAAAATGTTTAAAACAAGTTGTATGATTAGAAAAACAAACCATATGATAGTAAATTATTTACTGTTTCCAGTTGCGGTATTTGGGGATAATTTGTTATTCAGAATGCAAATATATAGTGGTGGCTGCAGAAGTGAGCTCAGGAAGGACCTGGTAGAGCCAGTTTTCCAGGGCAGGTGATGGGAGTAGGGCTGCTGAAAGGTGCCCTGGTAGCAGAAAAGCTTGCTTTGCGAGAGGTAAGCCTGGCCAGAGACCAGGGAGGAGGCTGTGTGCTCATCCAGGCAGGCAGACCAGTTACGTTAATTCATCAGGACAATGTGGCAGAGACACAAATGCCACAGACGCTTCTGAGCTCTGTGATCAATCGCTGGAAAGCTAATGGGAGCAGTAACATTCACAGTATCAACAGCTACCATTTATGGAAAAGCTAACGGGACCAAGTACTTTCCTCTGCACATATTCTTGCACATATTCACACATACTCCTTGTGACCAGCCTCGTGAGCAGGTGCTATGACCTCATTGTACAGATGGGGAGACAGGCCTGCCTGATGCCATGCGACCCGGGTGGTACTGTGGCGACTGTGCCGTTAACTGTTCCGTGAGACTTCCCCTAGGGCACAGGTGGGGAACTTTTTTCTCTGCCAAGGGCCTGCCCGAGTTTCAGGCTGTTATCCAGTCAGTGGCTCTGCACTCCCTGCCCTGAACGGGTCAGAGAGAAAACTCAGGGGTGCCCACCAGCCAGCACCAAGGTAGCACGACAGAAAAAGTACTCTGTCACTAATCACCTGGTTCCCTGCACACCTCACAGGAACCACTGGCCGGACCCAATGACACCCAGCACGTGCATTGTAGAATAACATCCGGACGCGGCCCTGGGCCCAGCTCCTACCACACTCCAGTAAAAACAAATCTCCCTTTCCAAACACAGAGTGGGTGGAAGTGCCATGTTTTACAGGAGGGGAGGCAGTTATTTGGCATTAAAATTAAAAAAAAAAAATACATGTTTTTGCTTCTTCCAGGAGCTGGGCAAGAGCAGCAAGATTTCCAGATGGAAGCACAGATGACCGAGCAAGCCCTGGGGAAGCCTGACTCAGCGACTTGAAAGCGCCCAGAGGGGGAAGAACAGCCCCTTTCTGGGCCTCAGTTTACTGCTCTCTCAAGGCAAGAGGTTCAAGCCAACGCTACTGCCTTGGGCTCTCAATGCAGTGATATAGTGAGGACTGGGACTGGAGTCCTGGTCCACGTCTAGGCTGGCTGACTGTTTCCCAAATTACACTGGACGATGCAGACTGGCCCCAATGCTCACCGCTGGACTGCTGATAGAACCCCAGGGTTGTGGCCTTCCCCACATATTTTCAAACTCAGAGTTTTGCATTGTTAATCCACAAAGAAATGCAAGCCAGGAAGTGCCCCCCCCCCCACTAGCTGGGCCAGCAGAGATGCCACTTGGATAAAGGAAAACCGATGAAGAGGGGCTGGGTGGAGGGAGGTGGGCGTGCTCACTAGAGGCCCTTCTTGCACCCTACAGGGGTCACCCTGCTGCTGAGTGGGCAGGTCCCTGGACACTTTCCCTGCAATCGCAGGAGGCAAGAAGAGCTGCATTTTACTTTCATGGAGATCCTTTGGCTGGCAGAGGTAAAATCGGAACCCCATCCAGATGGGATGAACTCCAAAGCCCGTGGCTCTCCACCTCCTGGGCCTCTGCCTGCTACTCAGGTGGAGGTAGAATCCGCCTTAAGGGAGAAGCACATCTCAAACACAGCCTCCAGGGTAACTCAGAAACAGAATTAGATTCCTTGGGTGGAACTCAGTGAATAGATCTTTAGGTCCCTCTCTCTAACTCTGCTTTTCAAATCAATGAAAAATCTTTTGAAAGAAGAAAAAGGCCAGGTTTTCTTCAAATGATTTTTATTAAAAATTGTACCAATTGATGAGAGGGAAATGTGTATTTATATATATATACATACATATATACACATACATGTATGTGAGCAACACTTAGCCACATAGTCTATACAGGTTAAAAACAAAACATGGTTCCCCAAGCCTCTCCCTCTTTCTATCTGGCTGTCTTCCACAGGCAGAGTGCCCAGACCCCAGAGCAAGCAACCCAGGGGCAGGGGGGGAATGAAGGAAATGCTACATTCTCACTGGGTCTCCCCCATAGTCCCTGGGACTCCAGGGATGGGATGGGCTGCTGGGCAAGCTCCAAGCAGAGGACACGGGCCGACCCAGGAGCACCTTCAGCCCAGAGGCTGGCTTTCTCCAGTAGAGTTCTGCCTTCTGGTAAGTCCACAAGCTAACCTCTTCCAGCCAGGGTTAACTGGGGTAAACTGGGACTAGAGGCCTGCCCCTCAGGGTCCTCAACCTGGGGGTTAAGATCTTCCCCACCTGCCAAGTCCACACTCCCCCCCATCACATCCCCAGGGAAGATAACACAAACTCTCACTGAGGAAGTGTACTCTGCTTATCAGGACTGGCAGGTGCTCCACAGTCCCTCTCCCCAAACCAGCCCAGGGGGAGCCTGTGGGAGAACAGGCCTGGACTGCTGTCCCTGAGCCCCCAGAAACAGGCCTATCACACAGCCAGAGGTGATCCTTTTTCACCTGGGATTGAGCAAGAGCACCAGGCAACTCTCCAGGTACCCAGACTTGCAGACCCACCCAGGGCCCAATCTTTCAACCTTGGCAGGGGGTGGGACAGCAGAAGTCAGGCTTTCCCCACACCCCCAACTGTCTGCAGGCTTCCACAAAGCTCCAGTCTGGGGTTCTGAAAGAGAAGGGCTGTTTTAACCCTGCCTCCAGGGCATTTCTTGCAGGATAAAGGCAGAGGTCCAGCCCCTCTCCCAACCCCCACCCCAGCAGGCCACAGAAGCCTCAGGGACCTTCAGCTGGCTGCAGGTCAGGATCTAGGTCACTGCTCCACCCCCCCAAAGCTGTTCCCCCAGCTCCTCTCTGGAGACAGCCAGGCTCCTCCGGTGGGGGATGGGCATCTCCTGAGGATGGACTTAAGGAATGTTTGGGTCCATTCAGCTGGCAGAGAGGGAAAGGATCCAGCCAAGATTGCAGGACCAGCCAGGGGGACCCGCTCCCACTCCAGCGGGCTACTAGTTACTTCCAAAGGTTTTTTTTTGTTTGTTTTTTTAGTGGCAGAGTGGGGACCTGGAATGGAAGGTGGTCTGTTTTGCCTGGCTTTGCTCCTGGCTTGCAGAAGACAGCAACAGCATGGATATAGGTGGGCTGGTCAGGTGCTCCCGGCCAGTTTTCCAAAACTGCTGCTTAGGCTCAACAGCAAGGGCCTGACCGGTCTCCCTCCTGTTCAGCTCAGTATAAAATTGACCAGGAGGCATTACAGGTGGCCAGGAGGAACAACTTTGGTTTGTGTGTGTGCCACTCATGTACACACAACCTCCATCCAGGACAGGGGCAACGATGTGGGTCCCACATGCTCTATGACACGGCATGGTGACACACCGGGAAAACTGACTTTCTAACAGCAGTCCACATGCCCACTCACTGGCTTCCATTGCTTTGCAAGCAAGAAGCTGTCTTTCTCACCAGACAAGCCATGTTACACACCCTGAGAATAAAATTCTGACCAAGAAGAGGTAATATCTCCCAAACATCTGGGAGGACAAAGCAAAGGCTTGCACGGCACCGTTGGAGATCCTGGCTGAAGCTGGGGAGTGGGGAGCACCGTGATCACATGCCCCACCCCCCACGGCCCTCCCCACCTCTGTGCTAGTCAGGAAAGGCACGTGGCCCCCCAGCAGGACTTCAGCCTCCTTTGGTTGCTCTGCAGTGGCTCTTGCACAGTGAACTACCCGTCCAACTGTACTTCCAGAAGACGGATGGTTCTTCCACAGTGCTGCAGACCTCCTGCGGCCTGAGCTGGCTCATGTGAGATTCTCCTTCTGTTTTCTTCGAGTAGCCTTGGGTTCTCTGCCAGGGAAGACATCCTTTCTTTGGGCCTGGCTTCTGCTTTAGCACCAATGTTGTCTTTTCTTACATAGGCAGAAGCTACGGTTTCATTTCTAGGTGACTGGTTAGCAGATTCCCTGGGGCCGCTGTCAGATCTCTCCATTAGCGCCACGGCAGGGAAAGAAGGGGAGAAGTTCAGAGGCAGTCAGGCACCTGCTGAGTTCCACAGTGTGCCCTTCCGGAACTGTCTCTCCGCTTTGACGGTTCCACACTGCACTCTAATCATTGTCCATCACTCTGAAAGTGGCTTTTCATCTGACAAAGCCACTGGCCTGGCTTCTTTCTATATCCCACTAGGTGTGAAAAGGGAATGGGGAGAAGGGGGAGGAGGTATGTTGTTTCCAAGGAAACCAAGGGGCCCTAGGTCCTCTCGAGTGAGCTGGCTTTTTGGCAAGATGACCGCCAAACTGGCCAGCCCCACTGCGGGGTGGCCCCTGGGTGCCCGCAGTGCTCATGGCAGGGTAGACTACAGTCTTGGGCTGGGTCTATTGAAAAAGAGCTGACAAAGGCACAAGCTGTTAGCTACAGCATGGTGATTGGTGACTCAGCTCATTCAAGGTGAACACTCATCTGTTCCAAGCAGCCACAGGTGGCTGCGGTCCTGCACCCTGGTACCAATCCTGGAGCCTCTACATGGATTTAGTGGGGATGGGGAGAGAGAGGGGAGAGTCCTCCCGAAGTTGGGTTCCTGATGTGGCACAGTTAAGGGGTCCCTGCAGGAACCCAACCCTCCCTGAGGTCTGCTGGAGGGAACAGGGGGCCAGGCAAGGATCCCTGAGCCCTTGGGGCTGGCACTGACTGAACAGTGGGGGAAATCTATAGTCGGCTGGCCAGCCTAGTAAAGCTGCCCTGCATTGGCTGTCAGGTTGCCCCCCGCCCCTGGCCCAGCCCTGTGACTGTCACAATGACGGCCCCATCCCCAGTGGAGGACTGGCAGGTTAGTTAGGTGGCACTGGGAGCCTGAGCCCAGACTCCCATTTCAACCAAGCACCAGTGGAGAAATTTCCCAGACGTCGCACAGCATCCCAAACAGTGCAACCTGTCCTTCAGCAGTGTTTGATAAAAGCCCCGCTCCTGAGCAAGGCAAGAAGGTCCCACCGGCAGAATGTTGTATGTACACACAGAGAAATGCTAAAACAAAAACAAGACAAGCCATCAAAAGCAACTTCACAAGTCACAGAGTGAGTGTTTGCGACGACGGTCCAGACGGCGTTCTCAAGGTGTTCTCAATGTCCCATGTGCAATGGGTGGGCAGGTCTCACCTCGGACCTGCCCCGTTCCTGTTCTCATCACCGTTCAGTGCCAGGTTGTGCAGGAAGAGGAGGATCTGCCACCACGCGCGGTTTCGGTTCTGCTGGTGCTGCGAAAAAGAAGAAGATGCCCTCAGCTTGGCTGCCAGCCACCTTGGGTCGCTGCTCATCCCAGGCAGGCAAAGCTCAGAGCAGCCCCTCCCAGGGCACCTTAATCCCATCCTCACAGCACTCTGCGGTGATGGAGGGGAGGGAGAAAGAGACTTGGGCAGGAGGAGCTGGAAGAGTTCTCCAAAAACAATTACAGTGTTAACATCACAAAGAAAGAAGCAGGCTCTCTCCGCCCAGTATGCAAGAGGATTAAACTTCTCCCCCTGCTTGCAGGATTTTCCAGAGTTTAGCCAAGTGCTGCTTTTAATCAGATGGACTCCCGGGCCTCTCCAACCTCAGCTGCAAAGAGAAAGTGGCCCTCTTTCTCTCCCCACCCCCAACCACTCCAAAGTAACACAGAGAACAAGGGGGAGAAGGGGGGGAGCTCCATCTGCAAGTGATTTGACACTGTGAAGGTCAAAGGGTTAATCTTCAATTTAAACCACACTGCTGAGGCAGCAAAAATCTGATTTCATCCAGTGCAAACACGGCGTGTGCGTGCACACACACACATACACACACACTCCTGTGCGCCCGCCCTCTCTCCCCTCCCAACATCTCCAGCTCCGTGCTGCCCTTTTCATAGCTGCTCTTGACAGTAAGCCATAAATAATCCCTCTTGGAGGGCTTTCCTACTGACTGAAGCCAATTAAACATTAAGCAAGAACATACTTGAAAACAAAACAAAAACAAAGAATGCACACCATGATCTGGAGGTTGCCCTGGGTCCTGCTGTCAGACTAAAGGCTGGAACTAAAGGGCAGGGGTCAGTGACACACAGAACCATGACCAGGGACCTCTGCCCATCCAGGTACCCTCCCCAGGGGCCAGTTGAGGCCCCAAGGGGACTGGAGGCTGCTGGAAGAGGCAATCTTTGTTCTTTGTCCTCTGGGTTCTGGCCTCCCTCACCACTGGGTTCTCAAGGAACAGGGGGAGTAAACCCAGGCAGAGCAGCAAAAAGCAAGTGGCTGGGTGGGTTAGGGATTCCCTCGGGGTGGGGGTGCACGCCAGATACAGTCCTCTTCTCTGCTGGCTTTTACCACAACACCAGCCTCAATGGGCAAGGCCTCAAGATCACAGTCAGCTGTGGCCTCCCTGACCTCAACCCAGGAGAACCATGTAAGTTGTTGGTTTGTTCTTCACCCTATGCTGGGCCAAAGGGAAGAGAGGCATCCACTAGGCCATGCCTAGGGCCTGGACCACACAGGTGAACCCCGAATCCTTCCCCTGCCCCACAGCCCGGCCACCGCTGCCAGCCCCCAAAAGGCAATGGTGCTCTCCTTCCTCCTGCACAAGAGACTGGAAAACAACCCAGCTACTTGGGGGAGGAAGGGAAGGGAAGTCGGGTGTGGCACAGCAGCCCAGGGCAGCTGGCTGAGGGCACTGATGGCTTCCTCGTGTTTTGTAAACAAAGATGAGTAAAAAGAGGAAACACACGAGCAGCTTAACAAAAGCTGATAGAGTAAAGTCATGGGGAAATGGACTCAGCTGTGAGTCCCAGGCCTCCACCAGCAGCTGGCACAGCCCATCCTCTTCCTTCTGCCCAACCCCCAAACCCCCAGCTGTTGCCTGAGGCAGGTGCAAAGGTTACGGGTGGAAGAGTCAGAGAATCCAGGAAAAAACTCAATCCATGGAGAGGACAGTCTACTGGAATTCCCGGCCTCCTCAGGTGCCTATGAGCAACTACAGCCCTCACGCAGCAGCCATGTGAGGGTTGCACTCGACAGCTCAGCTTCTCACGCTGTGGCCTGCAGCCCGGCAAGCATGGGTACCACAGTAAGCTTCTGGGAAATGCAGCTGAAAAGCAATGTGTGTTTGCCTGAGTGTCCCTGGCGACCATGAGGCCGTCACAGGACAGGCAAGAGCACATGCACGCTACACGTCTTTGGTACCCTCAACAGCCCCATGAGGTAGTGCCATGCCAGTCACAGGCACAGGGATGGAGGAGGGTTGGGTCATTTAACTCGGAGCTAACTAGCAAGTGGCACGAACTAGACTGATTCCTGATGCTTTTGTCCTAGACCAAAGTCCCTAACCATTACCAATAGATTCCACTTATCTTTATTTTCTTTAAAGATTTCTGTATATATTTATTTAAAAGGCAAAGAGACAGATCTTTCAGCCAATGATTCAGTCTGCCTCCATGGCTAGGGCTGGGTCAATCAAAAGCAAGGAAGACCCTGGAGCTCCATCTATGCTTCCTACATGGGAACAGGAGCCCAAGGAGTTCAGACATCACCATCCACCTCTTAGGCACATTAGCAGGAAGCTGTATCAGAAGCAGAGGCAAGTCTGGATCCCATCATCCTGATGTGGGTTGCAAGTGGCCCAAGCACAAGCTTAGCTGGCCTTACACTCCAGTTCCTGCCCTATCTACCTTTCCTTATTCTGCATGCCCCTCACCAAACCATCTCAATGGCCAAGGATAACAGAATTTGATTCTGATCTGGAGTCTGGCTCAATCCCATCTCTCTCATTCTCCCTATTCCCCCAAAATTCCACTAATGGAAGCCAACTGTGCAGCCTCCTGAGGTGTCTGGAGTGAAGCTAGGTGGGACTTTTACCTGTAATACTTAGGAGGGGTGTTAGGAGAACCTAAAGTAGCTGCAAGCCGAAGTGTGATGTTAGCCAGGCAGACGGGGACCTGCTGGGCCTCACAAGCAGTGCCTGGGGAGTGTCCGGCTCCATGCCTCTACTTAAGGCAGCCCTCAGGGCTCAGTCTTGGCATGGAAAGCCCAGTGGGTGGTGGATGGATTCCCTGCAGCAGGAGCCAGAGGCCCTGACAGTGGGCTGGGATATGTGTGTGAGTCCTCACTTGACTCCTAAGGAAAATGCAGGTGTGGTATTAGGTCTGTGGTTTCCAGTTAGCCTGTCACAAAACCAGCTGGGGTAGGGGTGGGAGCCGTGGTAAACACAGTCCTTCCCTTCACCCAGGCTCCACCCACACCAGCTGAGTCAGGATCTCCAGGAAGGGGGCCCAAGAATCTGCATTTTGAACAAGCTCCCTGGATGACACTTTTCAACTCGGAAGTGATATGTGTTGGGAATTTTAACTGGAAGGGCAGTACATGTTAATGGTAGAAAAATGGGAAGATGCAAGAAGTTACAGAGAAGAGAAATCCTGCATGACCCTACAGCCTGGAAAAAAACACCCCATGACCCGTTCTCTGCTTCAGACTCTTCCTACCACAGTGATGCCTGTGGCCAGCAGCAAGACAGGCCATTCTGCAGTAGCTGAGCCACAGGCTGGGTTTTTAGAAACCACTGAGGTGCTTTCTGTGACTCCTTCAGGACTGTAACTCAGAGAACCTGAATCACAAAAGGCCTGGAGCCAGCAGGAACAGGGCTGGCCCCCCACCTGCAGCCCAGGAGCCAACTCTGAGCACCAGCAGGTGCCACTGGGCAGCCTCCTTACCAATTGCCTCATCCCCAGAGCACCAAAGGCTGCTCTGATTATACAAGGAACAGCAGTAAAGAAAATACTTGCTAAAAGTTAAACCACAAGGGTCTGAATAGAAAGGAAAAGCAACACAATGTGAAGAGAGGTCAGAGAGACATCAAGGAGGAAGGAAATGGACCTTTGTGGTCCAGGTGAAGCACACAGATGCTAAAACATCAGCCAGTATATGGAGGACAGAAGGTAGGCAGTCAGGAAAGAATGCTCATGGCCCTGCCTCCTGGGCACTTGGCCTGGCACCCAGGGCATCCTCTGACTTCAGCCAGGGCAAACCCGTAAAGGGAGGTCCAACCCTCCAAGTGCCACTCACCATGGGGGTTTCCAGAGTGCAGGGCCATGGTGCCCCAGGGGTGGCAGATATTGGGCCCCTGGGAAGGGACAGTGTTCCCTAGAGCAGCCCTAGAAGGCAGGCCTGAGGTAAAGAGCAGAGGTGAGAAACCCCAATCCAGTGGACAATGGCACTGAACAGATGAGGGAGGGAGACCTCAGGGGCAGCCTTGCTTTGCCTCTCTTGTTTGCGTGTATGGTGGGTAGAGATGACCAGTTGACAAGTGCTCAAATCCTCCCCCACCTCCCCAAGTTCAAGGCACCCTGGCTGAATGCATTACCACACAGACAGTACACAGTAGGTACTCAATAGATGTACTATGAACTGAAGACAGACAGCCAGTCCTGCGAGATACCTCATTAGAGTCTGAGGCCAGAATGACTGCTGTCTGGCTGGGGGTGGGATTTTCTGTCTGGGACAGGCCCTGCTAGTAAAAGGCTTTAAAAATCAGATTAAAAACAGAGAGAGAGAGCTAGCCATGGTGTGTGGCAAGGCTGCGGAACACAGATCAAGCAGGGCTTTGTCCCTGCTGGCCTCTGCACTGAGCACAAAGCATGCTACTGCCCTCCTGGCTGAAAGTCTGCTTGTCTGCCTGTTCAGATCTAAGTTACACCCTCTGGAGGCCTCGTGGGTCACCAGCACTCCAGCTGCTCCAGCCAGAGCTAACGGGACCCCAAAGAGGCCCAGGAAGAAGCAAAGCCAGCAGCGCACGGCTCTAGAAGAACTAACACACTTAGCAGAGGGCGCACGCTCAGCTCTCAGACTGAGTGGGCGTTCCTGCTGTGTCACGGGAGCCTCTCACAGCTGTGGGACAGAGCGGGTAGGGCCTTTCAAGTCCATCTTACACAAGGGAAAGCAAAGTTCTGACAAGTCATCCCAAGCAAGTTTGTTGGGAGGGAGGTGACAGGAAGCCATGACTTTTGACTTCAAAGTGATGCTCTTTCACTGTAGTATAGGGTGGGTGTTTGGCATAAACATGAAGATGTCACGCAGGGCGACTGAATCCCATTCTGGAGTACTGCGTTCGAGTCCCAACTCCACTCCCAATCTCAGCTTCCTGCTGATATGCATCTGGGGAAGCCCTAGGTGAGGACAGTTCAAGTAGTTGTGTCCCCACCACCCACGTGGAAGATCCAGATTAATGTCCAAGATCCAGGCTGCCGCAGGCCTCTGGG